CGGCAGCAGGACCCAGCCGAGTCCCACCACCAGCGACCCGAGGACCGCCAACCGAAGCAGACCAGCTTATGCCCATCACACGAGAAGTTTGTCGAAGTCCCGCCTCAGTCGTCGCGTTCTTCTCCAACGCCGACATCTACCACCGCTCGCCCGGTCATCGCGCTTCCGACGACATCTGGCACCAACGTCTCGGACATCCTGCAAACAGCACGATACTACAAACAATCCAAGCAGAGGTGTTAGAACGCAACGCCCTTCTAACGACGAGCGGCCAAGAACTTCGACGACCACGAGCACGGTGCTTCACGTGCCCCGAAGCAGATCTTCCTCATCAACCTTTCTCATCTCATCACAACCCAAGCGCACCTACTTACGCTCCGATGGAAAAGGTCTACAGCGATATTTTAAACATGCCTCGAGAAGACACCGAAGCCGACTTCAACTACGCCATCACGTTCATCGACGCAGCAACCAGATACGTTTGGCACTTCAATCTCAAAACGCGCGATCAAGCCTTCGAGGCCTTCCCATCGCCGAACGAGAATCAGGAACCAAGCTCAAGAGCTTCCAGTCAGACGGTGCACTGGAATACCAGTCACAACGCTTCAGGACCTATCTGGCGGAAAGAGGAATCCGACGCCTGGTGTCTCTGCCCTATGCTCACCAACAGCAGGGGGTAGCAGAACGCATGAACCGGACCTTGCAGACGACGATGCGAAAACTGCTTCTGGGGATGAGGCTGCCCACCACACTGTGGCCAGACGCGATGACACATGCCGTTCACCTGCACAACCTGCTGTCCTCGTCATCACTTCCCAACAACGCATCACCGCACCTGTTGTGGACAAGAAAAAGGGGCAGCACAAAATTACTCCGAGTTTTCGGCTGCATGGTACAATACAGACCCCACATAGCCCGAGCAGAACGCTTCACACAACGAGCTAGGTGGGGACTACACCTGGGCATCGCAAAACATTTTCACGCGTGGAAAATTCTCGACATACAAGACAAAAATACCGTGGCATCACGTGATGTTATTTTCTACGAGCGACTGACGCTGCAGCATTACCTGGACAACATTGCCAACACACAAGACCCCACCGACGGCTTCTCGGGACTTCGTTCCTTCGCCGACCGTGCTGCCGAAGCTGACGCAGCAGAAGAAGACGTACCTGAAGCCTCGGAAGCTGCCGGACCACTCCCATTCTGTTCCGTACCTGTTCCACTCGACGAAGACAATCCTCTCGATAGCAACAACCTCGACACCTTTTACCACTTCGCTGACCAAGGTTACATTACACCCCACCCAGTCGACACAAATGTTTCAGAACGCATCGGTCCCAACTTCTTACCTGACCCAGAAGACGGTGACGAAGCAGCTTATTCCGGGAATGAAAATTCCCCTCGACACACACCCACGGGACTGCAGATTCTAGGCCTCTAAGTCTCCGTCCAGCATCCGCCGCCGCCTTCTCCGCGAGAGCCTTCGACCTTGTCGCACGCTCTGGGGGGGGAACATAAGGCGAAATGGAAGGAAGCGATGGAAAATGAGTTAAAGGCTCTGCAAGACCGGAAAACATGGAAACTGGTACCTGCAACAAGCATCAACGGAAAAAACGTCCTCTCAGGGAAATGGGTGTACTGCATTAAGACCAACTCAGACGGCTCCATCGAACGATTCAAAGCTCGATGGGTCGTACGAGGCTTCGACCAACGATACGGGACCGACTACACAGAAACCTTCGCTCCAGTCTCCCGTCACACCTCATTACGCATCCTACTCGCCGTCGCGGCCACGAAGACACTACCACTACGCCAAATCGACGTCGCGAATGCGTTCCTATACGCACCTGTGGACGCTGAGATTTTCGTCGAACAACCCCACGGATTCATCAACGACCCCACGAAAGTATGCCAACTGACAAAATCCCTATACGGGATCAAGCAAGCCCCGCGGCTCTGGCAGCAGCATCTCCACGGCCGTCTCGCAAAAATCGGATTCCTACAACTGCCGCATGACCAAGGGATGTACCGATTGCAGAAGGGAAGAGAGTATATCCTACTCATCGTCTACGTCGACGACCTGCTCTACATCGGCTCCACTACCGACATCGCTACCTGGTTCGAAGGGGAGCTGAAAGAAGACTTAACACTCACGGTGTCCGACGAAGTGACCCAGTACCTAGGACTGAATGTCGTCGAAGACGACACGGCGTTCTACCTACACGCTGGAAAGTACTCAGGCACCGTCGCGAAGAAATTCGGTCTAACACCGACTACGGTCCCAACTCCCTACCGCTACGGGAACAACAACAGCACCTCCGCAAAACTCCCCGCGAAGCAAATCCAGGAGTATCAACAGAAGCTCGGCTGCCTACTGTTCGCAGCAGTAACCTGCCGACCCGACCTGTCCTATAGTGCGAGTCAACTGGCGACGCATCTGAAGCAACCGGAACAGGAAGATCTCGAGGAGCTCAACCGGGCACTACTCTACTTCGTCTCCACGCCGACGATCGGACTTACCTACAGCAAAGCGACAACACCGTCCGTACGACTACTCGGATACGTCGACGCCGACCACGCGGGAGATAGGGAAAATCGACGATCTAGGACGGGCTATATCTACCGACTAGAACCCATCGGAACTATCTCCTGGCAGTCGAGCAAGCAGGAGTTAATCGCACTATCCTCGGCTGAAGCAGAGTATATCGCCCTTTGTACCGCGACCAAGGAAGGACTCTACCTACGAGAGTTACTCGAGGAAGCGAAGATTGCGACCCTGCCCGCCTTCTCACTCCTCTGCGACAACCAATCTGCGATCAAAATCGCGAACAAGGACGGCTTCGCCAACCGAACCAAGCACATCGCCCTGCGGTACTTCTTCGTCAAGGATGAAATCGCGAAGGGGAGACTTCAACTCAGTTACTGCCCAACGACAGAAATGGCCGCAGATTATCTGACGAAGAAATTGGCGAAAGCAAAATTCGACTACTGCATGCTCCTGACCGTGCAAACAAACGTCACCGGATCTGAACACTCCAGCACTCCAGAAACGAAGGGGAGTGTTGGAAATATCTCAAAGGACTTGAGCGTTTCTGAAGTGTAACACTGTACTCGAGGAAGATTACAGGGGAGCACGCGAGTCAACGGAGGTTACACGAGGGGGCGGACAAAGAATGCGAAAAGACTCGAAAGGTCGCAACTGGAGGTTGCGACTGACCGTTACAACATCACGGATGGTAACCGAAGCGGCAATCGAGTCGCTGTGCGACTCAATAAACCGTTCCTGTAACTGTATTCTACAACTGCCTTCCTATCTTCTATATATTGCTGTATGCTTGTTTCTTCAATTAATCACTTGTTCTCACATACTAGTACAAGGGTTCAACTGCTTCAACCTCCGCTGCACTACTCAAAGTTTGAAAGTCTCTACAGCTGGGACTTAGTCTCTGCAAAAGATCCTAAGGGCTTTTCTCAGCCCAATACTTATAAATGGAAAAAAAATATTATAATCGGATCCCTTTTTGGGTGGGCAGAAAGCGCGAACCGGGGTTTTAGGGTGTGTACGTCACTTGGGTCATAATGCATAAAAAAGTGTGTCCTATAAACGGAGAGGCCGAATACAAGATAGACGCCTAATACAAGACATAGTGTCTTCTATTCCATGGGGGTCTTCTATCCGGGCGTTTACGGTATAACAAATATAATTTAACAGGGCGCACATATCCAGGCATGAAACAAAAAGGCGGGGAAAATGTATGTGGCTCTTTAGGAGACCATATTCGGGTGCCGCGATTTGAATTTCGTGGCAGACAGCAAGGCAACCATGTTGTAGCAGTGTATGCCTTACTAACTAAAACCGGGGTATGGAAATACCGTACCATTTCCTTACAAGGTATCATCAAATGCCATGTTATAGATGCAATACTGTCCAGCGCTTTGGAATGTTCCCTTCAATCGAGCTTGCCCGATCCACCTCAGCAAAGTCTCTGGAATGCACGTGGCAAGCCCAGCAGTCCTGTTTCCTGTGGTTCCCTGATAATTTCGAAGAGAACTTAGGAATGATTTTGGAGCGAGTGGCAGACCCGAGGTTGACCCTCGGCCGAAGGAGCCGCGGGCTGTCACAACCCAACTGCGGGTTTTCTATTCTTGACGGTGCAGCGGCTCCTCAGTCGCGAACCGTCGCAGGGAGAGGGCTGCGACTATACTGGCCGAACTTTGCGAGTCCACCAAAATCGTTCGAGTTTATGATTGGTGGAAGTTCCTTTTCGCGACATTGGTCGTCGTTCTGCTTGACAGCTGACTGGCTGAGGCCCTCTGTTTTTCGCAAGACTCGAGGCAAAATTTTCCAGCCTCGGATCTTCCTGCTAATCCTTCGGGTCCAACACTCGATGCGAAATGCGCCCTCACTTTCAGATTTCAGGTTATGTGAACGCTCCCGGTCTGGCGCTCTTTGGAATTTGCGTTTTGAGTACTGAGCATTTGACCTTCTGTTCCGGGTCCTCCTTTTTCCTCGGTTGCTGACCTGCTTGAGGAAGGGGTCAGCAACGGAAGAGGAGGACGCGGGTAGTAGAGGAGTGGAGGTTCGTTGCTGGGATGCACACTCTACGGATACCAGACACCCGAATCTTCTATAGACACGAATTAACTCGAAACTCTAGCCTTCGAATCATATTATTATTTAATACCCTGAATAAAGCAAAGAAGTTATTCAGTATACACTGTACGAGACATAGAAAGCGAGCGAATACCGGTCCCATGCTTGAACGGCAAATCCTCCCTTCCCCCCCAAATGTGAGGTCCCTTCCCTCCCCTCGACTCAGCACTTCGTTGCCTCTCCTCTCCTCCCCTCTCCCCTCGCAAGTTGTCAGAGGCTCACGAACGTCGCGACTGTATTCACGACTTCCCCGGCCGACCTCGTTAGGTGAAGGGAGTGGCTGGCGAAATGGCGAACCTAGAAATGGGAACAAGGCCAGAGCTAGCAATCAAGCAAGTCATTTATCAACCTGAAAGTTCACATCCTAGGGACTGGACCTAAGGGCGTGTCACCAAAAATGGTTTTGGCAAAATACCATACTAAACCGCTCTAGAAATTTATTTGACCGTTTCAGAACGCAAAACATCTTTGCGAACCGCAATCGGACATACTTTAGTGACACGCCCTAAGCAGAGCATTCATGCACAGGACCGACTCTCCTTAGCTCCTAACCGCTTAGGGTTTTCGTAGTCCAATCCTCGTTGCGATCAGATCGTGCCATGGCTAAGGCTGAAACTCTCCGACAGGACGGCGCGACGCACAGTGACGGAGGTACGAGAGCAAGCCTAGACGAAGCCACGAAGACCCCTGTTGCGATGCCCGTAGCAACAGCAGCAGCAGCAATGACCACTGTAACAGAGACGACAGGAAGTGTAGCGGAAGCAAAAGCAGTCGTAGGAGCCAGATCACCTGGAGCAGCAGCAGCGGCATCTGCACCAGGCAGCGAAAGGGCAGCTGTAGCAGGCAGCGAAGGGGCAGCTGTAGCAGGCTGCGAAGGGGCAGCTGTAGCAGGCAGCGAAGGGGCAGCTGTAGCATGCAGCGAAGGGGTAGCTGTAGCATGCAGCGAAGGGGCAGCTGTAGCAGGCAGCGAAGGGGCAGCTGTAGCATGCAGCGAAAGGGTAGCTGTAGCATGCAGCGAAGGGGTAGCTGTAGCATGCAGCGAAGGGGCAGCTGTAGCAGGCAGCGAAGGGGCAGCTGTAGCATGCAGCGAAGGGGGAGCTGTAGCAGCAGAAGGCAATGAAGGGGCAGCTTTAGGAGCGGGAGGGCCATCAGTGGACAGCAACGGTGCGGATCCGAGCAGGCACACACTGTGCGACCAGGGCACTCGTCGCACAAGGTGTCGCGAAGCAGCAAGAAACCGGGAATTTCGCACAAACGACTGTAGGGATCAGAACGGATCTGAGGGCGTAGAGAGCAAGGCTGAGGGGCAGCAGTGTAAGGGCGGGAGAGGGGGAGGCGTAGCGCCAAAGCAGTGTGCGGAAGGAGCTAGTTCCAAAGCAGCGACTAGTTCCAAGCTACCGGCTAGCTCCAAGCCACCGGCTAACTCCAAGGCAGCGGTGCTCCTCGGCCGAGCGTCGGGCCCCACGCGCGTTCCCTCCGTGGCCCTGCACGAGTGCCCTGTCTTCCACCCTTCGCCCGAAGAGTTCGCCGACCCCCTGCGATTCATCGCACGTGTTCGCCCAGTCGCAGAGCCGTGCGGCATGTGTCGCATAGTCCCCCCGCCAGGCTGGGACCCCCCCTTCGCGCTAGACCGCTCCAAGTTCCGCTTCCGCACCAAGGTGCAGGCGCTGCACCAGCTGCAGCGCCGCCCCGCGCCCGCCGACCCCGCCACCTTCGCGCTTGACTACCTCCGCTTCCTCTCCGCCCTCCGCCTTGCGCCCCCGCCCGCGCTGCAGCGCGCACTTGCGCGCGCGGGGATGGGGTTGGGGAAGAAAGGGGTTTCTGCAGAGGACAGGGCGGTGGTGGCGGCGGAAGCCATGCGCGCGGGCGCGGTGGACATCTGCACGCTGTTCCACGCCGTGCAGCGGCGGGGGGGATTTGCGCGCGTGAGCGAGAGCAGGGCGTGGGGGGACGTGCTCCGGTCGGTGCTGCTTAGTGGGACGAACGGGGGACAGGGGGCGGGGGAGGGGAAGCGGGCGAGTATGGACGCGGGGGGGCTGAAGGCGGTGTACCGCAGATGGCGGCTGGAAGAGCTGGAGGCGTGGAGAGAAACGGGCGGGGAAGAAGCGGAGGGGGAGGATGGATGCAGCGAGGCGCGTGGGGAGGCGGAAAGTGCTGCAGACGGGAAGAGAAAACGACAAGAACGTGAGGCGGACGGGGAAAAGGGTAGCAAGTCCCAGAAGCGGAACGATGGCAGCAGCAGCGGGCAGGGTGCGAGTGACGCAGGCAGGTCCAACAGCCATCGGCGCGCAGCCAAGGGCGTGAAGTACAGCGAAGCGGAGTCGGACGGGGAGGAGGAGGATGGAGAGAACGATGACTCGGACAGCGACGACGCGGCAGCGGATGCGGTGTGCGAGCGGTGCAGAGGGGGCGGCCACGAGGAGCAGATGCTGCTGTGCGACCGCTGCGACCGCGGCTGGCACCTCTTCTGCCTCTCTCCACCGCTCTCCACCGTGCCGCCCGGCACGTGGTTCTGCCAGGACTGCGTGGCGCGCCCCCACGACACCTTTGGCTTCACCACCGGAGATAACATCTCCATCGCCGCCCTGCAACGCGCCGATCGCATGCTGCGCGAGCAGCTCTTCGGCGCCAAACAGGCTGGCGCGCTGACGTCAGCGCAGCTGGAGGAGGCGTTTTGGCGGATAGTGGACGGCGCCGTGGGTCCGGTGGAGACGCTGTATGGCAGCGACATCGACACCGGGGTCAGTGGCAGCGGCTTCCCCAGGCGCGGCGAGCCCGTGCCGCCGCATGCGGTGCAGAGCGGTGTGAGCGAGGCGCGGTGGCGGCAGTACGCGGAGGCGCGGTGGAACCTGAACAACCTCGCGCGGGACGCGGCGTCCGTGCTGCGGTATGTGGAGGACGCCATCCCCGGGGTCATCGTGCCGTGGCTGTACATGGGCATGAGCCTCTCCGCCTTCTGCTGGCACTTCGAGGACCACTGCTTCTACTCCGTCAACTACGTGCACTGGTACGATATGGTGCTGCACCCTGTGCACTGGTTGGTACGATATGGTGCTGCACCCTGTGCACTGGTTGGTACGATATGGTGCTGCACCCTGTGCACTGGTTGGTACGATATGGTGCTGCACCCTGTGCACTGGTAGGTACGATATGGTGCTGCACCCTGTGCACTGGTAGGTGGGCCTCGTGGCCACATGCATTGGTGTGCTGCTCACTTCTGCCCCTTCATCCGCCACATCCTCGTTTCCATCACTCGTGCCTCTCCTGCTTCCGTCAGCAAACTCCTCTTTCCCCAACCCCCCGCCCCTCTTGCAAAAATCAAACTTCCCTCCTCTTTCCACCCTCCCATCCTCGGCTGCCCTGTGGCCGGCAGGGGAGAGCCCAAGCTGTGGTATGGTGTGCCAGGGCATGCAGCAGAGGCGTTCGAGAAGGCAAGTGAGCCGTTTGAAGTGCCACGCCCTCGTGCCACTATCTCCTCTGGTCCATTCACTCTCAATTTGTTCTTTCCACTGCTCTACTTCGCATTCGCGTCTTGCCCTCACACCTAGGCTGGACCTCTTACCTTCTGCCGCTTGCCATCCCCTCGCTATCCCCTTCACTCTTCCGGCACCATTCCCCACTCAAACCCTTTCCAGGTGATGCGGTCGGCGTTCCCGGACCTGTTTTCAGCGCAGCCGGACCTGCTGTTCCAGCTGGTGACCATGCTGCACCCCATGGCGCTGCACCGCGCCGGGGTGCCCATCTTCCGCACCGTGCAGGCTGCGGGGGAGTTCGTCATCACCTTCCCACGCTCCTACCACGGGGGGTTCAATCAAGGCAGGCCCCTCCCCTCCCCTTTCTACACATACATTCCGTTAGCCATGCCAACTGGTGTCACTGCTGTTACCCGCTTTGCTCGGGCGTGGATGGATCATGGGTCTTGTTGTTGCTCCCATCGTTTCCCGACTTGTCAACATTGGATTGGTCACCTGTCACTGGCTGCTGCTAGGGGTCTGTGTGAGTGTGGGCTGTGCGTGCGCCTCGCCTCTTGTACCCCTGCGCCCATGCCTCCCCCGTTCGTTCGTTCGTTCCCTCCCAGGAGTGAACTGTGCCGAGGCCGTCAACTTCGCCCCGTGTGACTGGCTGCCGTGGGGCGGGCTGAGCGTCGAGCGCTATCGCCTGTTCCGGCGCAAGTCCATCCTCTCGCACGAGGAGATGCTCTGCGTGCTGCTCATGGTGAGATGCTCTGCGTGCTGCTCATGGTGAGGTTGCTTTTAGGTATTCGAACGTGAGTAGAGGCAGCGATGTCTGTTCACCAGCTGGATCCGCCTCGTTGCCTTCACGGGCTTGGGCGAACGGCGTCGGCAAGCCCGAATGTTTGTCTCTGTGGCCCGTCACCGTTCGTCGACAGCCAACGCAGATCTGGTGGGCTAAACCCTGCCTGGCGAGCAAGCCAAGGAAGGCTCGAGAGCTGGCTGTCGCGTGGCGAGCCGACGCAGCTCGAGACGAGCCATGCCCTGGCTGGCTGGTGTCGATCACAGGAGCCACGAGCCAAACAGCTGGTCAGCTCGGCTCGGGTTGACGGGAGGGCGAGCCTGCGCTGGCTTGAGTCGAGCCGGGCATGGCTCGGTCTGTGCTCCTGCATAGTTGACTCAATGCGTTGATTCTTAAGAGGAACTTCTTCTTTTTAAGCACAAGGGGTTGCTGGTACCACCATGCTTCCATGCCTCCATGAAATTGAGCCGCCGTGCCACCATGCCATCATGCCATCGTGCCATCGTGCCATCATGCCATCGTGCCATCATGCCATCATGCCATCATGCCATCATGCCATCATGCCATCATGCCATCCTGCCATCATGCCATCATGCCATCATGCCATCATGCTCCAGGCTCACTGTGTTGCGCACCTCACTGTGTTGCGCACCTCACTGTGTTGCGCACCTCACTGTGTTGCGCACCTCACTGTGTTGCGCACCTCACTGTGTTGTGCACCTCACTGTGTTGCGCACCTCACTGTGTTGCGCACCTCACTGTGTTGCGCACCTCACTGTGTTTCGCACCTCACTGTGTTGCGCACCTCACTGTGTTGCGCACCTCACTGTGTTGCGCACCTCACTGTGTTGCGCACCTCACTGTGTTGCGCACCTCACTGTGTTGCGCACCTCACTGTGTTTCGCACCTCACTGTGTTGCGCACCTCACTGTGTTGTGCACCTCACTGTGTTGTGCACCTCACTGTGTTGCGCACCTCACTGTGTTGCGCACCTCACTGTGTTGCGCACCTCACTGTGTTGCGCACCTCACTGTGTTGCGCACCTCACTGTGTTGCGCACCTCACTGTGTTGCGCACCTCACTGTGTTGCGCACCTCACTGTGTTGCGCACCTCACTGTGTTGCGCACCTCACTGTGTTGCGCACCTCACTGTGTTGCGCACCTCACTGTGTTGCGCACCTCACTGTGTTGCGCACCTCACTGTGTTGCGCACCTCACTGTGTTGCGCACCTCACTGTGTTGCGCACCTCACTGTGTTGCGCACCTCACTGTGTTGTGCACCTCACTGTGTTGTGCACCTCACTGTGTTTCGCACCTCACTGTGTTTCGCACCTCACTGTGTTTCGCACCTCACTGTGTTGCGCACCTCACTGTGTTGCGCACCTCACTGTGTTGCGCACCTCACTGTGTTGCGCACCTCACTGTGTTGCGCACCTCACTGTGTTGCGCACCTCACTGTGTTGCGCACCTCACTGTGTTGCGCACCTCACTGTGTTGCGCACCTCACTGTGTTGCGCACCTCACTGTGTTGCGCACCTCACTGTGTTGCGCACCTCACTGTGTTGCGCACCTCACTGTGTTGGCACCTCACTGTGTTGTGCACCTCACTGTGTTGTGCACCTCACTGTGTTGTGCACCTCACTGTGTTGTGCACCTCACTGTGTTTCGCACCTCACTGTGTTTCGCACCTCACTGTGTTGCGCACCTCACTGTGTTTCGCACCTCACTGTGTTGCGCACCTCACTGTGTTGCGCACCTCACTGTGTTGCGCACCTCACCGTGTTCTGCCGCAGCCGCCTGTATTCCCCGTCACTGTCCCCTCCACTCCACCGTCGCCCCCATGCCCCCCCCCTCCCGCCCTCCCGCCCTCCCGCCCTCCCGCTGCGCACAGAACAAGCAGCGCGGGCTGCTGCCTGGGGAGAGGGAGGTGGCGGGGGCGGAGGTGCGGCGGATTGTGGAGGGGGAGCAGCGGGCAAGGGACGCGGTGTGGGCGCAGGGTACCGTGAGGAGCGCACGCATGGCGCCACATGCCAGGGCGGATGCCATCACCGAGGAAGAGGTACTGTTCATGGCTCCTGGGTGGTACTCTTCATGGTGACAGGGAGGTACTGTTCATGGCTTCTGGGAGGTACTGTTCATGGCGTTTGGGTGGTACTGTTCATGGCGAAAGAGAGGCGCTGTTTATGGCTCTGTGGGGTACTGTTCATGTTTTGTATGGAAGTTTTTTATTCTTCAGCAGCATGCGTCACAAGCTTGTAACACTGCATGTGGCTGCAAGGTGCAAAAAAACGGCGTTTTTAACTTTTTTTTACCTTATGAAGCGGAATCGTATAAAACGGCCGTTTAATACGATTATAACGGTAAAAAGTGGTGTTTTCTGATTGGTGCGAAAAAACGGCCGTTTTATACGGTCGTTTTATTTATGCCGCCGTATAAAACGGAAGTTCGCTTTATATCGAGGAGGGTGAGGAGGTTGAGGAGGGCGACTAGAGCGAGGAAGGGGAGGACTAGGGTGAGGAGGAGGAGGACAATTAGGAGGAAGAGCAGAGCTGGAGTAGAGTAGGAGGACTAGGAGGGGGAGGGTAAAGGAAGGGCGAGAAGGACAATGAAAGGAGGTCTAGGAGTACGAGGATGGTGTTTTAGATGCACGTCGGCTGTCGCCGCCATCAGGCCCTCTGTTTCGCAGCGATTTTTTTTAGTTTAGGGTAAAAAAAGAAAAAGAAAAAAACCGGGAAAAAAAAACTAACAATAAAACGGTAGAATTTGCAGAAGTCTGCCGTATAAAACGACCGTAAAAAACGGACCGTTTAATACGGAAACCGTTTTTTTGCACCTCGTGTGGCTGCGTGCGTGATGTGCTCGTGCTGCCTCATGCGGCCTCATGTTGACTCATGCAGACTCATGCTGACTCATGCTGACTCATGCTGACCAGACATTGGCTTTCATCCAAGCCGGCTCGGCTCGGATCCGGCTCGGCAAGGCTCGCGGCTTCACCGAAGCCGAAGCCGAGCCGAAGCCTGGCTCGACCCGGCTTGGCTTCAGCGCGGGTTGAAGCTGCGGGGGTCAAAAATCGACCCCCCCAAAAACACAACTCTCATTTTGAGAGTCGCTTTTTTTAAAACCCTACACTAGCCAGCGCGCCCCTTCCTAGCCTAAGCACGATTTATACACCCCCCACCTAGGCTTCAGGCTTAAAAAACGAGCGGAGCCGAGCCGGCTCATGTCTAACGGTGACTCATGCTACCTCATGCAGCCTCGTGCTGCCTCATGTGGCCTCATGCTGTCTCATGTGCATGTTCAGCGTGGGTGGTGGTCCTCTTGTGCCTCCGCCCTCCTCCCTCCTCCCCTCCTCCTCCACCCCCTCCGCGCTCCCCCCTCCTCCCTCCGCCCTCCTGCCCCCACTTCCTGTGCCATTACCTGTGCAACCTCTCGTGTTTTGCTGTCGCTCCTCTCCCTGCCTCTCTGCCACTTCCCTCCCCCCTCTTGCCCCATCCCTGTGTGCTTGTCTGTTCTCGACCCTCTCCCCACCCCACGCGCCCTGCCCCTCTCAGCAGGATCTCGAGTGCCTCATCTGCCGCTACTACCTCTTTCTCTCCGCGGTCGTCTGCTCCTGCCGTCCCCGCGATGCCGTGTGCCTGCAGGTACTTGCGCCCGCTCTCTCTTGCGCCCGCTCTCTCTTGCACCCGCTCTCTCTTGCGGCCGCTCTCGCTTGCGCCCGGTCTCTCTTGCTGCCGCTCTCTCTTGCGGCCGCTCTCTCTTGCGCCCGGTCTCTCTTGCTGCCGCTCTCTCTTGCGCCCCCTCTCTCTTGCGCCGCTCTGTCTTGCGCCCGCTCTCTCTTGCGCCCGCACTCTCTTGCGCCCGCTCTCTCTTGCTGCCGCTCTCTCTTGCGGCCGCTCTCTATTGCTGCCGCTCTCTCTTGCTGTTGCTCTCTCTTGCTGCCGCTCTCTCTTGGTGCCGCTCTCTCTTGCTACCGCTCTCTCTTGCGGCCGCTCTCTCTTGCTGCCGCTCTCTCTTGCTGCCGCTCTCTCTTGCTGCCGTTCTCTCTTGCTGCCGCTCTCTCTTGCTGCCGCTCTCTCTTCCTGCCGCTCTCTCTTGCTGCCGCTCTCTCTTGCGGCCGCTCTCTCTTGCTGCCGCTCTCTCTTGCTGCCGCTCTCTCTTGCTGCTGCTCTCTCTTGCTGCTGCTCTCTCTCGCTGCCGCTCTTTCTTGCTGCCGCTCTCTCTTGCGGCCGCTCTCTCTTGCTGCCGCTCTCTCTTGCTGCGGCTCTCTCTTGCTGCTGCTCTCTCTTGCGACCGCTCTCTCTTGCGGCCGCTCTCTCCTTCTGCCGCTCTCTCTTGCTGCCGCTCTCTCTTGCTGCCGCGCTCTCTTGCTGCTGCTCTCTCTTGCTGCCGCTCTCTCTTGCTGCCGCTCTCTCATGCGGCCCCTCTCTCTTGCTGCCGCTCTCTCGCTGCTGCTCTCTCTTGCTGCCTGTCTCTCTTGCTGCCGCTCTCTCTTGCTGCCGCTCTCTCTTGCTGCCGCTCTCTCTTGCTGCCGCTCTCTCTTGCTGCTGCTCTCTCTTGCTGCCGCTCTCTCTTGCTGCCGCTCTCTCTTGCGGCCGGTCTCTCTTGCTGCTGCTCTCTCTTGCTGCCGCTCTCTCTTGCGGCCGCTCTCTCTTGCTGCCGCTCTCTCTTGCTGCTGCTCTCTCTTGCTGCCGCTGTCTCTTGCTGCCGCTCTTGTTTGCTGCTGCTCTCTGTTGCTGCCGCTCTCTCTTGCTGCTGCTCTCTCTTGCTGCCGCTCTCTCTTGCTGCCGCTCTCTCTTGCTGCCGCTCTCTCTTGCGGCCGCTCTCTTTTGCTGCTGCTCTCTCTTGCTGCCGCTCTCTCTTGCGGCTGCTCTCTCTTGCGGCCGCTCTCTCTTGCTGCCGCTCTCTTGGTGCTGCTCTCTCTTGCTGCCGCTCTCTCTTGCTGCTGCTCTCTCTGCGGCCGCTCTCTCTTGCTGCCGCTCTCTCTTGCTGCCGCTCTCTCTTGCTGCTGCTCTCTGCGGCCGCTCTCGCTTGCTGCCGCTCTCTTGGTGCTGCTCTCTCTTGCTGCTGCTCTCTCTTGCTGCCGCTCTCTCTTGCTGCTGCTCTCTCTTGCGGCCGCTCTCTCTTGCAGCCGCTCTCTCTTGCAGCTGCTCTCCCTTGCTGCCGCTCTCTCTTGCGGCCGCTCTCTGTTGCTGTTGCTCTCTCTTGCTGCCGCTCTCTCTTGCGGCTGCTCTCTCTTGCGGCCGCTCTCTCTTGCTGCCGCTCTCTTGGTGCTGCTCTCTCTTGCTGCTGCTCTCTCTTGCTGCCGCTCTCTCTTGCTGCTGCTCTCTCTTGCGGCCGCTCTCTCTTGCAGCCGCTCTCTCTTGCTGCCGCTCTCTCTTGCTGCTGCTCTCTCTTGCGGCCGCTCTCGCTTGCTGCCGCTCTCTTGGTGCTGCTCTCTCTTGCTGCTGCTCTCTCTTGCTGCCGCTCTCTCTTGCTGCTGCTCTCTCTGCGGCCGCTCTCTTTGCAGCCGCTCTCTCTTGCTGCTGCTCTCTCTTGCTGCCGCTCTCTCTTGCTGCTGCTCTCTCTTGCTGCCGCTCTCTCTTGCTGCCGCTCTCTCTTGCGGCCGGTCTCTCTTGCTGCTGCTCTCTCTTGCTGCCGCTCTCTCTTGCGGCCGCTCTCTCTTGCTGCCGCTCTCTCTTGCTGCCGCTCTCTCTTGCTGCCGCTCTCTCTTGCTGCTGCTCTCTCTTGCTTTCGCTCTCTCTTGCTGCCGCTCCCTCTTGCGGCCGCTCTCTCTTGCTGCTGCTCTCTCTTGCTGCCGCTCTCTGTTGCGGCCGCTCTCTCTTGCTGCCGCTCTCTCTTGCGGCCGCTCTCTCTTGCTGCCGCTCTCTCTTGCTGCTGCTCTCTCTTGCGGCCGCTCTCTCTAGCTGCCGCTCTCTTGCTGCTGCTCTCTCTTGCTGCTGCTCTCTCTTGCTGCCGCTCTCTCTTGCTGCTGCTCTCTCTTGCGGCCGCTCTCTCTTGCAGCCGCTCTGTCTTGCTGCTGCTCTCTCTTGCTGCTGCTCTCTCTTGTGGCCGCTCTCTCTTGCGGCCGCTCTCTCTTGCTGCAGCTCTCT